GTATAACGTACAAAGATATCTCAGCACTCGATCTTTTATTTTTTTTTTTTTTTTTTTTTTTTTTTTTTTGGGGGGGGGGGGGGGGGGGGGGGTGTAATTTTTAGAATAGTATTTTATGTCTGATATATAAATTATGAAGCCTAAATTTAAATTATTATTTACAAGTTTTTTTATAAGTTTTTTTTGTCGTTCACGCAGTCAGTTCCTATCCCCAGAGCCCTAGGGCGGCTTGCGATGGAAAAGAAACTTGGAATTTAATTTTTGTGGAAGGAATAACGGAGAATCCGTAAAAAAAGGGTTTGTAAAGAATCAAAAAAACGCTCAGCTTTACACAAGGTAGGAACCAAATGAGTCAACAAAATAAAGTATGAAAACAAGAAGACTGCTTAACAGCTATGAGATGAAAAAACCCAGCTGAACAGGCGTAACGATTATTTTTTTAAAAATTAGTTCCGCGAGCGTCCTATATAGAATACGCTCATGCAGCTCTACACAAGGTGGGAACCAAATGAATCAACAAAATAAAGTGTGAAAACAAGAAGACTGCTTGAACAGCTATGAGATGAAAAAACCCAGCTGAACAGGCGTAACGAATACTCAAAAAATTAATTTCGAGCGTCCTATATAGAATACAGAAGTTACGTTTAAATTAAACAAATCAAGACAACATCAAGAAATCAGTACTCCTATAAAAGCACAAACGAATTGTAAAAGAGACGTAAAGGAACTTCTACTATAACTTCTGTTCCAGTATACAATTCAAAGTCACTGACTAAAAACACAACGAAACTGCAAAATAGAGAACACTCGCTTGTTCAAGTTAATGCATGAACGAAACGTAAAAGAACTTGTAAAACGTCTTTATAAGATGACAATTCATCTCCATCTCAGTTCAGTTTTCCAAAAACCAATCGTTCTCATAAATTTAATTTTTGTAAAGACAACATTTACTGACTATAAATCATACTAACTATTAAAGTCAGGAAAGCATGAGTGAGTACTAACCTTCATAGGATATTCTAACTACATCCATTAGTGGCTTTCAAGGTAAACTATGGCGTGTAAAATGTTGACGGATTTGGATGTTAATCTTGCTCCCCCAAGGCTTGTCTTGACCTGTCGATTTTGTCATTTTCATCTGTCATCTTCAAATTTTTCACAATCGTTATAGGTAAGCTTTCATTACTGAAATTGGGGTGAAAGAAAAGGTGTTTTCCACGTGTACATCAGGATTGTATGAATGAAAATGAGCCATGTGTTTTCAGTATACTATCTACGAGGATTTTTCAATTTATAGGCTCAAGATAGCGGGAGGTTATTCTAATATGTGATTACAGCTATAACAAATCATTAAAAACGAGTTCTTTCAACAAGCTTGTTTACGAACTCCACACCGGACTTAACAGGCAATTAAACTTCCCAATAGCGCAATAATCTATGATTAATTGCTAAAATTAGAAAGTAAAATCCTGCCCGAGACGTAGACAAAGGACTACCTCAATTTAATGGACTAAATAGGAAACTCAATGTCAATAAGGCTTCTAATGCAACGGTGATTTCTGCATACCTTGGTCTTGAACCATTTGACTGACTCGAAGATGCTGGATCCCAGTAGGACGACTGAAGAAAACTCCAAGTGCGTGAAAATAAGAGTGCAAATTTACTTGTCTTATTCACGTTCGTGGTTCAAATTGGATGCCATCTTGATGCTCATTTTTGGGGGTTTAATTTGAGGCCTTTTGTAGACTTTCATTATCAATAACTAGTAAAGAATCATTTGCATAATAGCTCTGTTTCATCAGCTGTTTACTTTAAACGCCTTTTCAAAGAAACTCTTGGCTTGACCTTGTTATGGAGTAGAGCCCCTGAAGTGATTTCGGTACTCTTGCCAAGCCAAGCCAACCCTGAGAACTTTATTTGCTCGTCACGTTATCAATCAATTGCAGGTAATCGATTCTTTTGGAATGCATTTGGGAAATTTCGTATATCGAGGATGGTACCGAGGATTTGATTCAAATATTGTAGGCATTCGAAGTATGAAGAACACAATTGAAAGGTTTTTTGGAAAACTGGCGGGTAATCTCTTGAGAATGCTGCCGCTTGTCACAATGATATAATAGGAATAGTTAGTGACAATAGAACAAATTTGATGGGAACATAAACAACACCAACGTTCAAGGAATAACTTAAGAACTAGCGAAAAGACGAACGCATGTTGATATATTGGTGACGATAGGTATTACGGATATGTTAGAAGTCATATATGTTTTTAGAACCCACTGATGATGTGATTAACATGTGTTTTTCAGTGCATGTATAGCCATCATAAACAACATCTGGATAGCACAAGAGCGCTAAAAGCCATTTACACCTCTTGGTTCAATTCACACCGCGATCATTTGTACAAACAAGTTTTGACATAGCAGGTTTTAGGCCAGCTGACAGCTACCAAATACTAAATAGTGTAATAAAATATTCAGGATAGAAATAGGCACATTAACTCGATCTCATTCAGACATTTTAACCAAGAACTCTGGTTTATTAGATTTTTATTCTTACATTTATTTACTTTTTCTTAGTCTTTCTGAAACCGTTCATGAGAGATAAAAATAGAATATATTTGTACATTTTCGAAATCTTTCTTGTAATTCCGTGTCTCGTTTTATAAAGTTTCTACGGTGACGATATGCAATTCCAATACATGTAATCATACTTCTTTGATAACAATAACAAAATCTAACATCAGCCGTAGAGTTTTTACTTGGCAAATACTAATGACATGATATACGACAAATGTCTTCAAAACGTATGTTCAATGCCCATGAACGAGAAGAGTCTTGCACTGCAGGACTCATTCCCGGGGAAATCCTATACCGCTGCCACTTGCCCAGGAACTTTCTTTTAATAATCCAGGAATTTTCATTTAATGTTCCAGGAATTTTCTTTTAATATTCCAGGAATTTCCTTTTAATGTTCCTGTAACATCCTAGATATTCATATAGTTCCAAACCAGCCAGGCATAAAACACTTTCCACCAGTAACTGGGTTTGCAAAAGAAATTCCGTCATCGTTTCCATTCCAGCCGGAATTATGAGATTTCTTTTCCCGCGCGCGTCTGTTTTGGAACCAAATTTTGACGCGGTGTTCAGATAGACTTAAAGCTGTCGAAAGGTCGGTCACCTCAGAGCCCGAAAGGTATCGGGCCTCGAGGTATTTGTGTTCTAGAGTCATGAGTTGTGAGGTGGAAAATGGGACACGTGGATTTCCACTTGATTTGCGCTTGATACTCTTGCGCCTTTTAGCTCCTGCAACAAATGGATAAAATAAAATAACAATAAAAGACTTGATTGACTATACAATAAGCATTGAACTTTGCACCCATGTTGTTTCTCTGCCACTTGATGATAAGACAAGAGACAGGGATTTTCAATATTTTTATTGATACATGTGGATAGCTGTTCAGTTGATTGTTATTTTTTGTCCAGTAACAGGAAGACCACCATGCTAGCGATGTACATTTTGATGTGGTGTGGCGAACAAACCACATTGGGTGGTAAAACAACGATCGCACTTACTGAATTCTTTCAGTGGTACGCAAGTACGCGGCGGGTTTATTTTTCAGATAAATACTTTTTAGTATTTCCAAAAAAATAGCTCTGGTATCTTTGCATAGTACACAAGGCTTACAAACAGGAGGTATATTATTTGAGAAAGATTACAATTAAGTTCTTATTGTGTAATGCATCACGATAAACCTGTTTAACTTATGTTCTCGCTTGCTTAATATATACCCCTGAAAACTTGCTGTACGGCTTACAAACAGACTGCGTGCTTTAGTTAATAGGAAAATGAATCAATAAAGTACTATCATGGCTTGTCTGTGGCTGCATCACTCTAGGCTGATGAAAGCTTATACTGAGCATATTAGATACTAATTTACCCCGAGGTTAAGCCATGCGATTAGTAACTGCACTATAATGATCGTTAAAATGTCAAGCAATAGGCTCTGAATCATTTTAAAGAAAATTGGCCCTGTAAAATTTCCCACTTCGGCGGAGATATCGGCCGGTTTAATTCATCGACCTAAGGCTAACACAAGAACTGAAAACACCAGGACTCGAAGACTTCTTCCGTGGAGCAAGTCCAGTGTGTCAGAAAACTTGTCAGAAAAAGTAGAAAAATTAAGTTAAACTTACTTGGTAGTTTTGGAGGGCTGTATCTGGTGTAAGATAACCAAGGAAGATCAGTAACAATTGATCCATTGTGTGGTGATGTGGGTTTCTCTCGGTCATCTGTTGGCAAAGATGGAGCACACACGTTGGTCGTACATCCGGATTTGAGTCTTGATGGCTTGAGCACATTGCTAGTCTTCCTGGTGTCCTTTTTAAGAATGCTTTCAATGGAGAACGAAAGTATTCTTTTAGTTGAAGGCTCACTTTGTGAACGGTCTTTCTTTGTCTCCATTTTCAATGCGTTTCAGGCGACGCGGCTCAGATTTAACTTCTGCGTGTTGGCCAAGGTTTGCAGTTGAAATAGACCGGCAGGATCAAGAATTTTATTTAGTTCAAGTATATTTACACATCATTCAAAGGTTGTCATTCTTTTATTAGGAACAGATGAGCAAATGGATTACACAAGATGAGTCTAATCCTGCGCGTCAGATGCACTGAGTTGCTTCTGCGAAGAACATCTTCCAAGGACCTGCACCCAAACCACCTTAGTAAAATACAAGACTAAACCTTTTCAAGACTCAAGATATATAATATTCTAGTCTAGTGAAGCTTTGGCACACTTGCTTGTTGATGTTCAAGATGTTGTTATTGAAAGGCTGATCAATTTTCGGAGTGCCCTTTGATTACATTGGGACAAATCCATTAGACAGGGACGGTGGGCTTTCTAACGCAAAGATTGACATAAGTTGACATTTAATGATTCTCTAAGAGGCCGAAGTCAAGTGCGTCGACCCAATCGAAAGCCGTTTCTGCAAAGATTATGGGCTCTTATAGTCAGAGCAATTAGACTCGAAGCAATATAAATTGCAGACAACTTGAAAAGGTTGAGCTTGAACTCAGCACAGAAGTTCTTTTTGAATTTGTCAATGAAATGTTGTCTCGTATGCTGCCATTGAGTCGTCATCGCTTTATAAGATGCTAGCGATAATGCATTGAAATTAATTTCGCTCAAATGAACAAACAGACTTTAAACAAAAAATATTTTATTCACAAATAACTATCGACTTAACTAGCTTCTTCACCAAGTTGTTCCAAGATCCTAGGCTGTTTTCTCAAAGGACTAAGGATATTCGGCCGTCTTTGTCTTTCAGATGTATATTTGTGTGGTTCTTGACTAAGGTTATTGTACTCAATGGAAATGCTAATCAAAGTCGGAAGTTGGTGTGTACGGTGCATAAAAAAATCTAACGCCATTTTAAATAAACAAATTCACAGTCAATTTAAAGCTATTGAAAACGCTTGACGGTAATTGAAACAAGGAGAGAGCCGTGTTGATTGAAGTGCCAACTTGTTGACCAACCAGTCACGAAGGAAGACCGATTGTAGCCGATTAGCGTTATCTTGCATAGATAAAAGTACCTTGGACGAGTTCGTTTTTCCATTAGCTTGTAAAATCATATCGATCATCAGTTCCGGCTAATGATCACTAACTCAACCCATTTGATGATAACGGTGTTAATGTTATCATGGGGTGCATTAAGCTTGACTGGTTAATCAGATAACGACAAAATGTCGAAAAAGACTAAAGAGCGGGGTTGTAAGTAGACATTGTACACTCTATGCCCGGGCTAACAATTCTAAGGGAAACCGATGATTGTTGCTTTGGATTCTTTCCATATTTATCTTTTTTTACAAAAGCATGCTATAGTATATATATATGTATATATATATATAAAAGAATGCGTAGAAGAGAAAAGAAAATCAAGTTGTAGTAAAAAGATAACGGTTAAAAGTGTTTTTTGGTAAAATTGCGAGGTTGAAAATGTAATTTTTGAATGGAATTCTCAAAAAAAAAAAAACGTTTTTCGAAACTCAGACTTCCAGTCTTACCAAGGTACCTCACCAGTTAACATTGTTTTCACACTATCTCGTCTAAAGAGATCTTACATAAGTTCGACCTTGAGTAACCTTGGATAGAAAGACATTGTGTTGCAAAAATCTTTAATTTTATAATCCGTGTATTTAAGCTTCCTCGTCAATCTTATACTGATAAACAGAACATTGAATAAACCTGGGAAACTGATTAAAAAAAAAAAGAGAAAAAAAAACTATGAATGGAAGGACGCTTTTAGCAATATAAAAAACACTGATTAAGACTTGGATAACGTTGATAAAAAGTCAGACTTGTTTGATCTCATTTTATTCAGCTCCACCACGTAGTTACCAGTTAACACTCCCTCGCAAAGTCATTGTAGATTTGCTGTTGCCTTGACACGCACGTTAGTATTTTTGCAACATTATAATCCAGTCTCTGGGTTTTTAACAATAGCCTGATCCAGCCACCAATTTTAATTATAACTTAGCAGGGAAAAGCAATTGATGGTTTTCACAGCCGCCATGCTGGATGAATTTAACAAAATATTTGTCATTTGTCTCTTTTGTTATATCATCCATTATGGCCGCCGTTTCTTTTGTTATTTCAATCTCTTGGGAATGATTGAAAACCAGAAATTGAACAATTAAGGTGTTTCTGAATCTTGGCGACTCACGCTAGTCGATGTTCTTTTCACGACACCGGCCATTGTGTGTTCGGCAACCGTGCTGTCATCAGTCATTGATGCTCTTATCGTAGATAGGGTCTTTGAATGAGGAAGCTCTTAGTTCTACTCTACGATCTGCAGCTGATAGATCGTAAGATATACCTACAGCTTTATCAGCTCTAGAAACCGAACAGACGTCACAGCCTTGCAGGAAAGAAATAAGTGATGGCGGAAACATGTTCCACGTTTTAACTCACCATGAATTGAACAATGCATCTCATGTCATCGATGTGGAAGAAGCATTAGGTATTTTTCTGTACACTAAAAACAAAATCATTTTCTTACCAATAGAATTAAGAAATACAAGGACGGGTTGAATAAAAACCATGTCATGATGGTCCTGACATCGGTAGAGTAGAGTTCTTACGATTTATAATTTGTGTATCGATTCGGAAAATGGACCGAAGGGAAATAGACTCTGATAGCAGAGATTACAGTGTCCCGACTCAGAGTCAACTTATATCTATATCATTTATAACCACTTTACTTAAAAATAGCTACTGCGAGTTAAAAGAATTATCAACAAATGATATAAAAGGAAATAATAATATTAAAGCTAACGATTATTGTTAATCCGTTAATATATGTTTATTAAGACACAATTTAAAAGATTTCTTTAAAATTCATTTTAAGGTGATTCATATTTCTTGTCACCGATTTTAGTTTTTTACCGTATCTTTAGTCCTATCAGTATTTTAAAAGATGTAGAGTTTTTAGTGACATTTATTTCCCGTGTAGTTTTAAAGCTTACTATGCCTTTTTTTCAAAAACGATGAATAAGCTCAGTCAGTCAGATGTATCATTCGATCACGCTACCTTCATTCCACTAATCCCCTTTTGATGAATATTTGCTAACATCTTATTATAAAATGGTTGGGTTGACGAGTTAATTAGATTTGCGTGACCACAAAAATGCACCTAAAATCTCGAGATTAAAACGTGTTACTACATCCTCCCACAAAAAGCTTGAAAAACAGGGCTTGAGCCATGACTTGGTAAGTGGTCAACGGTTGGCAAAAGGTCCAATGTGATAGGCGATTTATGATCTAAGAGATAGCAAATTGAAAAAAAAGTCTAAAAAAGTGGTCCGCGGTTGAAAACAGACCATCTGTACCGGCTGCTACAGCCCTATAACAAAAGTTGCTTGAAATAGATTATGGATATAACATCGTATGATAAAAAGACGATATGTGCATGTTCCTCAGAACTGACGTTTCGGACGTTAGTCTTTCTTTACTCCGACGAACCGGGGACTAACGTCACTGACTAACGTCATTTACTTTTTATACACCGACGCCGCTCGAACTAGTGCACTCGCTAGTTTTCGTTCATGCTTTAAAAGAGTATACTGAGGTACCATCGTTTCATTGGGGATGTCAGAAACGAGATAAAGAAGTGAATGGAAATTACTTGTCAATGTTTACTGTAGCAGTTGTTCATGGGTAAAATGAAAACGACTTAATGTTCTAATAGACTTTTCTATAAACCCCTAGTGAGTAAAAAGCATGATTTACTCAATTTAAGAAAAACTCTCAACACTTCTTGTCCAACATTGTAGGCTTCTGTAAGGTATATTTAAGCTGGAATATTTACAGTGTTTTCTTAATACATTGTTATGTATTACTCATTATGCTTGTGTAGCTTTGCGAGAGTGGTCCCACCATTCAGCCGACTATCTGCTACACTGGTAAATGACGAAAAAAGGATGGGGAGGGGAGGACCAAAGAGAAGTGCAGGGGAAGGGGATGGGAGGGAGGACAACAACAGTGCTATCACCGACACAAGGTATCAAAAATCAAAAAATCTTGATAATCGGATTATCAAGATTCAACAATAAAAGATCCTCCCCCCCTCCCCCATTCGATAATAAGCCTAAGTTTACTCACATCGACATAGTTATTTTATGAGTGTTTATATATTCTTAACATGATAATTCTCTTTTACATCATATTTTTATTTACACTTATATTATATTTTATGTATTATTACTACCAGTACCATGGATGATTAGGATATCAGGCGTACTGATGATATGACACTGTTCGACGTTTAATGTGTTTTAGGAAATTAAAACTTTACTTGATTAGAAATTTGCTTAATCACTTTACTGGCCCCTTGCATGCTAGTCGTTCCTGGCTGGAACGTTCTCCTTCATCTTAATCTTCCCTTCCCCAACCAGGAACGCCTACAATATATACAAGCTATCAGATTACTCGCTTTAGAGGTTTTAGAGTTCTTTTAATACCGAGTATTTAATTCTGATATTATATATATTTTATTTTATTATAAGTTAATTTTAGTATTGATATCGATACATTATTAAGATCAGGTATTTTATTTCTTGTAATCAAATCTGGTGGTAATGAGGACAAGAACTATTGCAGGACATCGCCCCATTCTCTTTTGTTTCAACTGGTAAAGAAATAGAATACCTTCTGTGTGGCTGTAGACAGCAGTGACCATCGATGTCGTTGTCTAAGGTGATCTTGGGCGTCAAGCATACTTTTGTTTGATATACAACATTCCTTTCTTTCGAGCTTGGTGGAGAAGTGTGTGTCACCTCAACATCATTTCCAGCACAATCAGTACAACGATGAGAAGAATTCAGCACTCGCAGTCTTTCATCACGTTTTAAAAATTCTGTTTCTTCGCGTTTCGTTATGTTACATTCCACAGGTTTAGGGTTTTCTTCGTTTCGTTTGCTCGCGGCTTCCTGCGCAACTCTGAGGATTCTGGTCAGCAGTTTTTCCGCCGATTGTCGATTTCGATATCTGATTGTTGATTGGTTTGTAATATGCGATTGCGTCACACCACTTGACGTCAATCGAATGTTTTGTATTGTTTGACTATCTGATACGTCCTTATTATCATTGTTTATTACGGTAATCGTTTCTGTTGAGCTTTGCGTCTCTGATGAAGTACTACTTGAAAGAGCAGAAACCCGCTCTTGTAATTTGTCCAGCTTTTGAGTTCTATTGGCTAGTTGCATATTTTCCTGAAAAGAATATTCAAATATAGCAAAATTTAACATTGGAAATGATAATAGACATCAATAATGGTTTATTTTTGAAACTGGCAGACTCACCGAACTTTGTTCTTTTGTTATTTGTTGACTATATTCCTAGAAAAACAGAAAGTTTTATTGAAAATATTAATAATAACCAAACAAAAACAAAACAAAACAAAACAAAGGAAGCAAAGAAGGAAGGAAGAAATGAAAAAAGGAAGAGAGGAGGAAAGGAAAAAAGGAAGAAAGGACGAAAGGAAGAAAGAGAGAAAATCAATGTGCTATACTACACTAGGAAAACGATGCATGATTCCCCAAATGCCAGACCTACCAGCTCGTGTGCTTTGCGCAGCTCTTCAATAACGTCTTGAATTTCTTTGATTTCTCTCGCTGAACGTAAATTAAATAGATAAAACTATTACTGGAAGGGATCAAAACACCCCAGGCGAGTCATAACTATCAATCATAAACACTCACCGAARTTTAACTGTAACTCTTCCTTTTTATCTGCTCTATTGCCGGGTAGCTTAAGAGCCTCGGACTTTGTCCTCTGTAGCCTACAGGAACAATCAATTTTATGTAATATATTAAAACACACGAAAGATGGTTGCATCCGATTTTCAAACACCGAGAACTGAGTAAGTAGAAAAAACGAAGCGGAGCTGAATAAGAACGAGCTCTTAACATGTGATGTATCTTATTGGAGTATGGATGAACACACCAAGGTTTGATATTTAACATTTTTTAACCTGTCTCTCCCTTGGATTTCCAGAACAGCTTTGGCATCGGGATACTCTTCAAGTGCCTGAAAAAATCATGATATCCATCATAACATGGAATGAATAACTTCATTTTACAAGAAAAATATATTTTAAAAAACTACGCTCGATTTATTTTAAATACTAAATACCCGGGCACACCAGACACCATAGTGTTATAGAAGCAAGAGTTGACATAGACCCCCTCGATGAGTGTTACGCTCTTGGGGTTAATGTAACGACAAAATATGCTTGAATAAAAAATAAAATAAAATAAAAAAGCAAGATTTACCTCCATTAAGTCTCTCTGTGACAGACAGAGCAGCTCTGAATACCCAACCGAACGCACATCTGCTGATCGTCTGTAAAACAATGAACGTGTTTAGTAATCACCCTTTGAGTAACCGAATAAGAAATGACCAATGGCAGGACCAGTAAGTCCAGTACTTTTTCTATAAACTAGCAATTTTTTAAGGTGGTACTTCAAGCATGTATTTAGTACATGGGAATGGACGAGTGATTCGCGGGCTTGAAATACAAAGAAACATTTCAAGATTTCGTATTCACAGCGCAACGCGTAAAAGTATGATCACATATGATGCATCCGCATGCTTCTATACAGGGGCTATGCGCTGTTAAACGGGCTTTTACACGCCTTTTTTGGTAAAACCAACCAGCTTCGCATCGAAGTGTAGGTTCAACGTACAAAAGCCCGTGCATGGAAGTATAAGAATATATCAAACGTGGTTATACTTTTGCGTGTTGCGCTCTAACACATTCTTTGTTTTCTGCATCGTTTTCTTCAAAAGTCACCTGTTTCTTCCTCCATCCAGCTTTAGTAAACTAATTTCTCCAAAGTAATTTCCTTCAGCTAAGCACGCAACTACAACTTGTTCTCCAGTTGTAGCATCTGGTACAATAATCTTAAATAAATCAAGAAACTCGTCATGAAATTTGAAAAACGTCATGCACCAGTAAATTAAAGTATGCGACTGAAATCTTTYGATTTTTGTATAAAAATGCAATGAGGTTGTTGTAAAAACACCACTTGCATTTAAAAATACATACCAGGGGTCAAGAGCAATAAAAAATCATCAACGATCAAAAATGTTTTGGGGTTTTGACCTCCAAACGGGGATTTGCTGCAAGGATCTACTTTTATTTCAATAAAGTTAGTCGTCACCTGAAAAGCTATAAAGCTGAGGTCGACAAGGATTATGGGTAGATTCATTTTTCACGTTCAACCGCTTGATATCTGTTGATGGACTTGCGAATCTTTTACCGGTTACAGTCTCACCTCTTCTGAGCATCATTGAGCTGCAGTTTGTATTAAAAAAGCTTYGTATATATATGCTTTTTTGATATGAAAAGTTTCCCATGATGCTCAGTGATCTCAGCTTTCTAGGTTTTTGGTGACTAACTTCATTGAAATAAGTGTATACAATACCCTACATGGAATATCAGCTGTACCTCAACTTTTCCGCGATTTATAATATACATCTCTCGTCCTGAAAGAGGATGAAGCAAATCTTGATGATTTATCTAAATGTATTAGAATATTAGGCGCAATTATCTATTGATAGGTCACGTGTCTATATTCTGCCATATTCTGCCTTTCTAAAGGGTATGAACTCCATTAGACCATGACTATTTCACATCCATTGAAAGGACCATTTTTATAATCGAAAAGGTCCTTTCACCATATGTGAACTCCAATAGACCATGACTATTTCACATCCATTGAAAGGACCTTTTTTCTAATCGAAAAGGTCCTTTCACCATATGTGAACTCCATTACACCATGACTATTTTACATCCATTGAAAGGACCTTTTCATAATCGAAAA